TTTTCTCTAAAATATAAGCAAAACATTGGAGTAACTGAAATTTACTTTGTGAATCTTATGTCCTGTCTTTTATCTTCAAATGATTCAATGTCTTTTTAAAAATGCTAAACATTGTGTTGTAAATACCTTAGATTTTAAAAATTTCCCACTGGGTAGCATATCCCAGACCCTATAGATTTGAGTTGTTGGAAGGCTAGGTTAAAAAGGTAGTGACCGAGTTGTGGTATTTACCGCATGTTCGTTGTCCTAATTCCTTTTGATATTCCTGAGTGTATTCTACAAATTTCTCGGTGTGACCATCAGTTTCTGAGATGCAGGAAACGTTACACACGGATCTATAGTATGACCTTGGATTGTCTGGAAAATCTAGAAAAAGTACAATGGTTATTATTTTGTTTTATTTCCAAATTCATGTTCAATGAGATTTTTTGTTTTCTAATAAACGGTAGCTGTTAAATACGTGTTATTTTTTGACATGTACTAAATAGGCACAGGCACTATGAGCGAGACCGGGCCAGTGAACTCCATTTATTTTACTTTACCTGTAACGATAACACTCAGTCATTTGGCAGTGTTTTTTTTAGCGAAGCCTCGCGTGAGCAGTGGCGTTAGCCCTCCACGCCATTTCCACGCCATATAGTATGTCAGTTTCAGTCCATTTACACGCCATCACCGCGCGGTCCAACGCTACGCCATATAGTATGTCAGTTTCAATCCCCTTATACGACATCATCGCACGGTAAATCACAAGTCAACACGCTGTCGTTAGCGTGAAGTGGCGTTGACTTCACGTTTCTCCCGCATGTTATCGTTCCAGATAAAAGACATGGAGTTCACTGGACCGGGCCCCTTAATTGTCACGTCATTGAAACAAGTTTATAAAAACGCGATGTAATAGAGATGCCTGGCTATAAAATAAACCCCGCCGTATGTTTTTCCTATATCCATCCATGAAAACTGTACTACTGACTACGATACTGTATTTGGGTTTTGTTACAAAAGTGTAATGGCTGTCTCTTTATTCAGCAAAAAATTAACGTGCTCCAATTGTAGGAAAGCGGGACTAGTCAACTGGAGCATCGTCATGCAGGTAGCTCGTTGTATGGGCTAATCCGTCCCTTACAGATTAGCCTGCAAGATATACAATCAACTTAATTTTTTTACACATGAGAATAGTTTATCGGTATATGCACCTTGGTCCTGCACGAAATAATTCCGGGCCTAACCCATTGCACATAAATATTGTTTACTGTCTTCCGGATCCTGCTGTTTTCCCTGTGTTCAATATCAAAATTACACATTTCGTGTAAGGCTACAAAATCTGAATCGATTATAGATTATTTTATATACATCTTGCCTTGATAAAGGTACGGTAATGGTTGTGGGCTATGAGATTTTGTATTAATGTATTTCTAGAATAAAATATAACATACCTGGTACACGTCGCAGTCTACGTAATCGATTAGCATACACAAGTAATATAACTGCTGTGGCAACAGCGACGAATGTAATTAATATGTTCGCCATCGTAGGACGTTGCGACGTCTTGTCACTGTTTGTTGATTGTGTTGTACTGGTCGATATCTCCCTTCGCCTTGATGTGCGCATTCGTCTTCCGAATCCTGCTATTTTCCCTGTGTTCAATATCAAAATTATACATTTCGTGTAAGGCTACAAAATCCGAATCGATTATAGATTATTTTATATACATCTTGCCTTGATAAAAGTACGGTAATCCCATTACCCATACTTCTGCCAGTTTTGTCTTGTTTATGCCATATGGTACATCCAAACAATCATGTGTATTTTCCCCAACCAAAAGACATCCATCATGACTCAGGGCCTTTCCTACTATATAACTGGGGGAGCCAAAGTCCCCCCTCCCAGTTCCCATGATGGCTCCCACTGA